ACCGTTTCTGGCTTATTAGCCTTCATCAGCCAACCATAGACCAGCCCAGGTCTGGCAACTTTTTTCGTAAAAGTGCTGGCAAATCAGGAGTCGGCCGTCTCGGCCTCTTTGTCGGTATCTCTGCTTCTGCCTTTGTATGTGCATGCATGCAGGAATAGGCACCCACTGGCTTCCCGAAGCTATCAAGCTCCGCGTCGTGGAGAATGGAGGTTCTGAAGGAGCAACCGCCTACTGAGCCGTACTACGCTATGTAGCAGAGGTGGTGACGACATGTATACGCGTAAATTGATACAGCACGGTTTAGGGTTTATTCTAACTTCACGCAACCAATAATTTCCCTGATAACCCCCCGTGGGGCTAAGCGCAAACATGCTCGTGCACACTGGTTTTATCTTCAGTTGATAGTACCCAACCCACTTGTTTCTTACACACAAATTTTCTTCACGAATTTCCGAGGAAATGTTAGTCTACGAAACGTTCAGGGGTATGCAGATAGTATTGCCGGTAAAGAAAAGGGTGACTGGGTTATTAGCCCTCTTCAGCCAGTCATACCCAGACCCAAGTAGTGCCCTATTCGGGCCTTGAACTCACGACCCTTTTAATCAGAGTCAAACGCTTTAACCGTTGAGCCACGAGCTCGTCTAGCCGAGCTCGTCTAGCCCTCTTCAGCCAGTCATACCCAGACCCAAGTAGTGCCTTATTCGGGCCTTGAACTCACGACCCTTTTAATCAGAGTCAAACGCTTTAACCATTGAGCCACGAGCTCGTCTAGCCGGGTTAGGTCAGGGGCTATTGACAATCGTTAATGAACGTTCACCTGACCGCTAACGCGACTCATCTGTCCCGCTCTGCTTTGGGTCTCGCCAGAGGCCCTGACAGCCGTAATATCTGGTAGTATAGTATGGTATAGTATTACCGCCAAAAACAAGGAAGACTGGAATGGTCATTTCTGCCTTATTAGCCGTCGTCAGCCTGTCATACCCAGACTCAAGTGGTGCCCCATACGAGCTGACGCGCTTTCAGCAACTGTCTTGAGGCCACTGGTTTTACTCGTTTTTTTAAACTCCAGTCTATTTTGTTATTCTTCTCTCCTCACTTGTTTTTTTTTTGTTTGCTAGGGACGCGACCCTTCTTCCGGCAGTAGCAGATGTTTTCTGTGACACGGAACGCGAGAAGGTCCTGCGAATATCTATGGCTTTTCTCAGGGTAAGTTCAATAGCGCTTCTTCTAGTAGGGATGACCGTTTTTGAAAGGGCCGGTACGCTGGTATTCCTTCTGCATAGCAGTAGTTTGTCTACGTTGGTTGCCAGTTTAATTTGTCTACACGTGCACTGATATTTATATCGCGTTTCGAAACCTATTCAGATAGAAGAAAAAAGGCATATATACTCAGTGACTGATGTCATGTAAAGTTCACTGAGATTCTGGAATACTTTTACAATTAGGAAGGATTACGTAAGTTGTGTTCGAAGACTAATTACCGTGCAGCCTAATGGGATGATATTTTAAATAAGCCAAGATGTTGGCCTTTAAATGAGAGACTTTC